AGTATAATTTCTGTAATTTACATTTAAAGGGCTCTGATGGAAAATTTTCTTCTTTCTTTAATTTTTATTGTTTTTTTGTTTTTTTTTCATTTTTTATTTTACTAACTTTTTTTTCATTTTAGATACGATGAGGAGAAAGTCGTACACCGCCGAAACGAAGCTCGAAGCGGTCAAATTTGCGAGAAAATTTGGAACGAACGCGGCTGCGATCGAATTTGAAGTCGCCGAACAGATGATTTACCGCTGGAAACAAGCTGAGCCGGCACTGATGACTTCACCAAAAAATAATCGAGCTTTCCGAGGATTGAGGGCAAAATGGCCGGATGTGGAGAAAGATCTGAAGGCATGGGTTCTGGAGAGGCGATTCACCGATGCTCATTTTCAAGCGCAAGACTCTTCCTAAAGGAATTTTTCCCGGTGTGATCATCAAAGCTAATCCGACAGGGTGGATGAATTCGGACTTGATCAAGGAGTGGATCGATGAAATTTGGTTGCGAAGAGCAAATCCGGTGGCCAAATCCGAAGAATCAGTGCTCGTGTTGGACTCAGCTCGCTGTCACTTAACCGTTAATATCAAGGCTGAAATTCAGCAACACTCGAAGCTGGCTGTGATTCCAGGAGGGCTAACTCGATTTCTACAACCGCTTGACATCAGCGTCAATAAGCCATTCTGAAATTGGGTCAATATGTTGCGGTCAATATGTCAATATGTTGCGAACGCGTATCAAATTCTGAAAAAGCGAACGCATATACTAACGACGAAAAAATACGATGAAATTGTGAACATATTGACAACAATGTCATAACAACAATGTTATAAATGTTAAATGTTATAAATTTTATTTCACTCGTTGTGATTAGTTCGCTGATTTGCGTTTTGCATAAATAGTTTGAAATCAAAGACTAATTTGAATTGAGCCATGTTCGCAGAAGCCGATTACAAATCGTGCACGGCTAGCAAAAAAATTTCATTCGTAATCGGCTAGCCGATTACGAATGATTCGTCAGCGGCTAGCCGTTAACGAATGATTCGTCAGCGGCTAGCCGTTAACGAATGATTCGTCAGCGGCTAGCCGTTAACGAATGATTCGTCAGCGGCTAGCCGTTAACGAATGATTCGTTAGCGGCTGAATTTCGTTAGCGGCTACGACATATATAAAATTAAAAAACGCTCTCAATGTGTATCTCCTCCTTTTCTTAAACCTTTCTCAAGAATTCTGAAGGCATAAATCAACTCTATATCTATAAATCTATAAATCTGCATCTATCGTTTAACTCGTGCACTCAAAAGTCTGCTAACATTTTGGTATTTTGGACATAACAAGAAACCATTGCATAACTTTTTGAGTACTAAATGACTTGACTTGACAATTATAGAAGTTTTCTAATTAAAATAACAATTTTTCAAGAGTTTACAACGAAATTTCCAAGTCAGAATATCTTTTGAAGTATCTAAAAGCCATTTTCAGGTCATTTTAATATTTTAAAAGGCTCTGTTATGTTTTTTTACTGTTTATAAAGGCTTTAACAATATTTAAAAACAATTTTTTTTTGCTAGATATCTCTTGTTAGAGACGTGTTTTGCAAAAAAACTAAAAGCTCATTTGAATTTTTCATTTAAAACTCTATAAGGATCGGTTAAGGTTTGTTTTAAAAAAGCCACCATTTTAAAAAAGTCACCATCACCACCAAAGTCGCCATTCTCTAGTTAGTAAGCGCCAGCTAGTTAAACGAAAAGCTAAAATCTGTAAGAGTAAATTACAGTCTAAAGAACTTTAGTCATTATCTACCATAATCATTTCCATTTACACTGGGTTTCTTTTTGAGAAGAGGAAGAGGAAAGATCGGAAGAGGCCCATCGGAAGAGGCCCATCGGAAGAGGTCATCGGAAGATGCCCATCGGTAGAGGCCCATCGGAAGAGGACCATCGGAAGAGGTCATCGGAAGAGGCCCATCGGTAGAGGCCCATCGGAAGATGCCCATCGGAAGAGGCCATCGGATGGCCAGCAACGAGGTGGAGCACAAGAGTAGCAGAGACGGTCAGAGAAAGGATGGCTAGAGTGCAACCACCACCAGCACAAGCAAGTCGAAGACTTCGAACCAGGAACAACCAAGATAGGAAACACTGGATGACAATAGCAAGGGATAGAGAAATGTGGAAGCCGGTTGTGATCTGCGCAAAATAGGAACATCTAAGTGCGAAGACAGATTAAAAAAAAGTTACAGTCTAAAGAACTTTAGTCATTATCTACCATAATCATTTCCATTTACACTCGGTTTTTTTTGGATCCCCTAAAACATGAATAGAAAAGTTAACTATTCATTCGATCAATTTTATGATGACCTCTCTGGAATCTCCATTTCACAATCATTTTATCCCTCCCAAAAAAAAAGAGAGTCGAAATCGAATTAAGCTCGTTTTCCAGAATTTCACGCTTGATTAAGGCCACAAAGGGAAATCAGTGAAAAGAAAAGAAACCTTCATTTCCGAAATGAAAATGATCTGATTGGGAAAAAAAAGAAAATGACAGTTTGTTTTTTTTTTTCTTCAAAATGATTCATTCTTTACTGAGAAATTTGCATTTCATTCTTTTCCAGTTACTTCTTTTCTCGAAATTGTGTCCTTTTTTTTCGGGAAAACATGTGTCTCCACTTTTTTTCGGGGTCGACAACTATTCAAACAAGAAAATCATCTCGAAATCCAGCAAATGTGTTTGAAAATTTCGGTTCATGATCTTGAAATCTCATTTTAGCCATTTATTCACTTTTCTGTGATGATTATAAACATCTTTATTAAAGAATCTCTTTTTTTTTTGTCTTCTCAGTGCCTTTGGTATCATACTTAGGTCTAACTTTACTACATAAACACAACAATTGCATATAAACTTACATGCTTTGGATAGGTACAATATGACGCAAATTGTTCGTACTTGGATATTGGAGCTGTGAGAGAGACTACTACTCAAGGTTGTTTCTAAAGCTATTGAAAGCTAGAGCCTGCAAGCTAAACTAGGCCAGAAGCCAGTAAAGAACTGGGTCACTTTGGCTTGCTTATGTAAGGCTGCTGAGCCAGAGCTGTTTCAAAAACAACCTTTCGATCACAAGCTGGGTCCTAGATTTGTCCTAGGCCTAGGCTGCTGTGCCTGGCCTGACTTTGCCAGCTTGATGTAATCAAAGACTAACTAGAAGTGAGTCAAGATCAAGATCTACTTGTAAAACCCATAGAAAGTACTACCAATTCTATCGCAAAGTTTATGAAAGAATCCCTCTTTTTCTGAGTTGACCCAATTTCGTGCGAAAAGAAATTGTGAAAAGATGCAGGAGAGAATAAATGGTTCCCAACTTTTCTCACTCACCTTTTATGTAACTCTTTTATCTCGTACCAAGGAGTGGATATGGGTTTTGTGAAAGGCAAAGATGCGTATCGAAGAGAGAACGAAATGAAACCAATAAAGAAGGATATGAAAAACATTCTAGAGTCTAAGAAAACTAACTTTGAGCAAGTTTTGGTGTTGAAAAACATGTCGATCATTTGAGGAGTCGAATTCTTTGTGAAAAGTAGAGTATGTTTCTCTTTGCTTTTCTAAAAGGTATCAATTTTAGAGAACTATTTTAATTAAGCGACTACCGTCAATACTGTAATAGTACCCCACCCCCATAATGACGGTGCGGAGTGTTGCGTAGTCTAGCTTTGAACGAGTTTTTCTCGACACTGGTTTATGCTACAATGCGCGCTTTGGTATCAAGAAATAACCCTGAATTTCAGCTATTTTTTGATACCAAAGACACATTTTTTGAAAGTATGGGTGCTTTGCAAAAAATGAAATACTAAAAAACTTTTGTGACTACGCGACTGTACGAGTGGGGTCGGGTACTATTACAGTATTTACGGTAGTTTATACCGTTTTAAATCTCTTAAATATTTTTAGACAACAAAGAAAAGATATTCAGTCAAAATATTGTCAAACTATGAAATCGAATTGGTTAATAAGATTTCTCAGACTGTCAATTCCATTTTATCAATCCTAAACTGTTCGTGCTTTGTAATAAACTTACTGTAATAGTACCCCAGCCCCTCGTACAGTCGCGTAGTCGCAAAAGTTTTTTAGTATTTCATTTTTTTTTCAAAGCACCCGTACTTTTAAAAAATGCTTCTTTGGTATCAAAAAATAGCTGAAATTCAGGGCTATTTTTTGATACCTAAGCGCGCATTGTAGCATAAACCAGTGTCGAGAAAAACTCGTTCAAAGCTAGACTACGCTATGCTCCGTCTTTTGATATCGAAAAATAGCCCTGAATTTCAGCTATTTTTTGATACCTAAGCGAGCATTGTAGCATAAACCAGTGTCGAGAAAAACTCGTCCAAAGCTAGACTACGCAACACTCCACACCATCATTATGGGGGTCGGGTACTATTACAGTATTTCCGGTATGTTCTCTTCATTTCTTGCAAAAATCTAATCCCTTTTTCCAATAATTGCCAGTCATTGCTACATATTGTGATATATAGCAATGATTGGCAATCCTGACTGTGCATCACTCTGAGTCATCACTTTTCTTTGGCATAACACTATCAATTATCGTAATCATCGTAATCATCTTAATTAATCATCTTAATAACCGGAAGACAAGACCTATTTAATCGTTTTATTTCATTTGACAAGACCTATTTTATTTATCGACTTGAACATTTGTACATATTTTCACATCGGCTCTCATAAAGTCTATCATTTTTGCAAGAATTAAACCAATTTTGAGTCAAATCCTCTTGCGTTTTCCAAAAAGTGTCAAAAAAAACCGTAATCTTGCATTTATTCTTATCCAGTTTATCTACTTTTTTCTATCTTTCGGTCTCTTTTTGAAATCTTACAAAATCAGATCAAAAGTGGATAAAGCCAAGATTACGAGCTAGAGCCAAGATTACGATAGTTTTTGAAATTTGACACCTTTTTTCTTCTTCTGTGTATATCTCATATTTTTCAATTATTTAAATTCAGATCATGATTTTGAGATGGTGGTTGATATCAATATTTGTCTATTTGACGAGTGGTGGCACGCTGAAATGCTCGTCATATCTCGGTTGGTGAAGAAGGGGCACTACTAGGATCTTAGTATTCTACAAATCAAGAACAACACAGGCCCTCAATATCTGTTAGAGTGGACCGTTACTTATCTAAAATAAATATTATTAATATCTTATCTAAAATAATACTTAGCATGAAATACGGTAAAGAATATGAAAGTTGTAAATGTTGAAATAAAATGACACAAGTTTAGCTTTGTTTAACGGCGCGAACTGGCAATTTTTGGAAAAAGGGATTAGATGAAGAGAACAAGAGAGCAAGAAATGAAGAGAACATACCGGAAATACTGTAATAGTACCCGACCTCCATAATGACAGTGTGGAGTGTTGCGTAGTCTAGCTTTGAACGAGTTTTTCTCGACACTGGTTTATGCTACAATGCGCGCTTAGGTATCAAAAAATAGCCCTGAATTTCAGCTATCTTTTTGATACCTAAGCGCGCATTGTAGCTTAAACCAGTGTTGAGAGAAACTCGTTCAAAGCTAGACTACGCAACACTCCGCACCGTCATTATCTTTGGTATCAAAAAATAGCCCTGAATTTCAGCGATTTTTTGATACCAAAGACGCATTTTTTGAAAGTACGAGCGCTTTGAAAAAAATGAAATACTAAAAAACTTTTGCGACTACGCGACTGTACGAGGGGGGTGGGGTAATATTACAGTATTTACGGTATGTATCATTTACGCTTATGAAATCACTAGGGCAACTTTTTCCCCAACTTCTAACCAACTTTTTTCTTTTCAATTTTCTGCTTCATAATTTTAGTTATCACTGTTTTCAATTTTAAGAAAAACATCTTTAAATAAACACCCAAAATAGCCATTTTTGAGTTGAAGCTAAAGCTCAAATTTGGCGCTAATGATATATGATGCAAGAATTCTTGACGCAAAGTCTGAACTAGGGCAGATCAGAACCGGTGCGCCGTTGGCGACTCGAACCCGCGACCTTTCGCTTACCGGCCAAATGTGCTAACCATTACACCACAACGCACTTAACCTCCCACACTCCAGGGGGAGTTAACTAAAGATAAATTACGCAAATAATTTGACGCTTTTGCTAGCACCTCAACTTCCCGTGGCGCAGCTTTCGTTTTTTACAGCCCAAGATTCGCGATTAACATAGCCGGCGCAAGCTTCATCGTCCAAAAACCTGATCGGTTAGCTATACATTACCAAATCTCCATTCCAGAATCCCACAAGAACACCTCAATTCGAGACATTCGCTTGGCTGAGAGTCGCACGCTTTGCCTTCGTCCCCGTTCGGACCCTTCGAAAATTTATGCGATCTCAGTTCTCGAAATTCGAACACAATGGGCGGTTTGTCTTCTGAAAATGTTTTTCTTTTAAATTTATTGATATTATTGATCAATCAATAATATCAATAAATTGATTTAAATTGGCTTTTAAAGTTGAAAGTTTTAAAGAAAACATTTCTTCAACGATCTCAAATATGCTAGAATACTCAAAGTTCTCTCAAAAGTGATTGAATAAAGTTCTTTTCTAATATTATTATATCATAATTTGCATTTAGCTTCATTTTATAATTTTTCTTTCAGATAACTTCAAAGCAGGATTTTGTTTTGGCGGATTTCCGCGCGAAACAATGCTATTGCGATTGTCGACGGGAAAGTTCGATTTGCGAGAGGAAAAAGTTGAGGAAAGAGGTGAAAAAACTAGACTATAAATAGAGATAAAATCTTTGGTAAAAGTATTTCCCCTCAATTTTCAGTGTCCCGATTGCATTCCATTGATTCAATCACATCGAATCGGTTCCGGCTGTGACTCGAACACGGAAGCGACATCGTGTTGCAATATTGAGGTTTATTCAATCGTTTCAATCGGTTTTCGACTTTGTTTTTGTCAGAAAAGTTTTAAAGTTTAAACATTTCTCATTTCCAGATGTTCAACGCCTCAAATATTTCCACTCTTCACCTCTCCCATCCATCACTTTTCTATCGTTTAGAGGTGTCCGTTTGGAATGAAACGATCGATCGAAAGCGGTCCCTTCAAACGACGAAAATCCACGAGTTGCATACCGAGGAACGATATCGATTGTGCGTTTATGGAAATATTCAGCGAATGTTTTTTTTTGGCCAAATCGCTTTTCCAGACTACCGTAATCTTGTCTCTAGTCTCGTCTCGTCTCTAGTTTCGTCTCGTCTCCAATCAAGTCTTTACAATTTTCTTCCAAACCTTTTTTAAAAATAATACCGCCAACAACATTTTTATTTAAACTATTAAAAAGATTAATTGTTTCTCTGCAAAATGGCTTTTGAGAAATTCTAGAAAGTTTTTTGTTTTGTAGATTTTCAAAGGTACAAAGGCGAGTATCCAAAACTGCTCCGATGCCGATGCCAGTGCCAATTTGGACACTTTCCTCAATACAAATCTATTTTGATGCCAAAATAAAAAAGATAGAGCTTATTTGATTGCATAAGTCTGTAAAATTTGAAAACTATTCGTCGAGCGCTTTTCTTTAAAACAGCAATTGAAAATTTATTACATAAAAATGCGTTTTTGAGTTTGAATATGAATAGAGACGAGATTACGATAGTCGAGAAAGTTGACAAGCTTTTGAAAACATCTTTAAAAGAGAAAATGAATCGAATCTAATTATGTAAAAAGGAATGCAGACTTATATTTGCAAAGAAATTTGACAATTATCTTTACCATACAATTCTTGGACAATTGCAGAACGGTGGACGAAATTCTCTTCGAATTTCACGCTGCTCAAAAACACGCGCATCCAATGGAAAGAGAAGTGATCATCGATGATCGAACGAACAAAATCATTCCTTTGTTACACTCACATCGGTAAGCGGAATCTCATCTCAAATATTCAAATCTTTCAGTTGTATCGATGCTTTCAAATACTCTAATGGATCGCTTCAAGTCCGAGAAGCGGCTTGTTTGCCAGCTTTTGAATTGGACGATTGCTCTCATCAGCGGCTAATCGTTGAAGAAGGAAAGGTAGATAAGATTTATTTCTGAAAAAGTTTACGTTAAAAGATTCTAGCCGCATTTCATCGACTTCTCTCATGGCCATCCCGCTCATTTCTCACAAGATCGACGCCATCTTTCAATGGCTGCTCAGTTGATGTTGACGATGACCATTGATGGTTTGTTTTGCTAAACTAGCAATTCTTAAATACCAATCAAAATTCAAACTAGATGAATGTTCGAAACTTAGTAAGCTTGTTTTGAAGCTAGTTTATGACCAAATCAAGAATCTGTGCTTCAAAAGCTCAAATCAATCCCCGCTTGAAAAGTGACGACAAAAGTATACTGTCACTAGTTATTACCTTGATAATACATAGACTTGATACTTAGTACTCTAGCATATCCAGAGGCAACGCCTAGCCTCAATGAACAACTTCGTACCTCCATATTATCGCTGAGACAGTTACCTATTGCCCGGAAACCCTGAGACTAGACTTTTGCTTCTAGCAGTGCTAGAGCACTGCTAGAGTATTGGCAAAGAATGGGCTAGTACTTCGCCAAGCTAGAGTACTAGTCGGGCTGGGGCTTAGAATAATAAAGAAGTGAAGGAGTTGGTAGATTTCCGGATAAGGGATTGAACCCTCGACCTTTTGCTCGACTCTCAGTTTGCAGTCCATTGCTCCAACCACCGAGCTATGCGACACCTTGTCTCGCCAAGAGAAAAAAGGAAAGACAAGGGGGGAGAAGAAAGGAAGAAAGGAAGAAGGAAAGAAGGAAAGAAGGAGAGATACGATTCCTATATCATTTCCAGATCAAAAGAATGCATTGTCCCCAGTTGAAGATGATGCAAAAATCGACGATCTTAAAGATGTTCGCATCGAGGTTGACGATCATAGTCACAGGTGAGGGAAAGCTTGTACTTTACTGATTTTTGGACTTTAACATGTAACTAAACAACTTGAATGATCGTCAAAATCCATTCAGACGTTTCCACGCGATTCTCCACGGAGCTCAGGGTACCCTCCACTTCACTTTCATCACGCAATCCTCGGGTGCCAGGTATGCATCATAAAACTTGCTTATCTATTACATTTTATATGCTATTTCGAGTATTGTAAAGCTTTTCTAGATACTCAATCCAATATCATGTCCCATCATCGATTCGATCCGACTCTCACGAGCCGTATCATAAGATTGCTCTGGCTCTCCCCGAATCAATCCGGTTTGACTTACATTTAGCAACATTTAACATTAGACAGATTTTCATATAACATTTCACGCTCATCTAACCATTTTAAATGCAAATTTGCAGAGAAGCAGCCACCGTGTGTGTGTCTCCGCTCGACAAAAACGAGACAAGCCAACTCTGCGTCCATGCACCGTATGAAGTGATGAAGATTAAGGTAAAATGAGCAAGAAATAGAAGACTTCAAAACCTATTGCCAATTTAGACCAAGGAATTCTTCAAGTCGTCAATTTTCAAGGGCTCATGCGAGGGTTGCATCGGGGCCACGTCGTTCATCGAGCGAATCACCGCTGCGGTTAGGTAAGGAAATAAAAAGCCAGCTTACGGTAACGTCAAAACGCTTTAGAAAACAAATGAAAATCTATTAGGTTGGTAAAAAAGAAATGCGCGTTTTCGTTAAAAGTTTATTTTATTATAAAAACAAGATAACAATACATTAATCCAAAAGGTATTCGCCATCTGCATCAATGACTTGTCGCCAACGTTCACGCAGAGAATGGATGCCCTTCTTGAAGAACTCGACCGGCTGCGACTCGAAGAAGTTGGACACCCAAATTTGGACTTCGTCGCGGTTCTTGAACTTTTTCTCGGCCAAGAAGTGGTGCATTGATCGGAACAGATGGTAGTCGGAAGGCGCCAAGTCTGGGCTGTATGGCGGATGAGGCAGGACTTCCCAGCCCATTTCTTCAATTTTCTGCTGGGTGATTTTTGCGACATGCGGCCGAGCGTTGTCGTGGAGGAATTTTGTCGACGCCGTATCCACACCTTGACGTCGCAGCCCAATTGGCCTTGGTAGAGGTTCGCCGTAACTGTTTGACCCGAATCCAGAACCTCAAAGTGCACCAGGCCTTTACTGTTCCACCAAACACAAAGCATCACCTTTTTTCCGTGGATGTCCGGTTTTGGAGTCGGTTTTGGAGCTTCACCGGGGTCCAACCACTGCCGCTTTCTTGCTGTGTTGTCGTATTGGATCCACTTCTCATCCGACGTAACAATGGAGTCGAAAAACCCACTGTTCTTGGCGCGGTGAGTGAGAATTCCGGCGATTGCGATGCGTGTCGCCTTGTTTGCGTCGGATAGCTTATGCGGTACCCATTTTCCGCATCTATTCGTCTTGCACATGCCATGCAGATGGTTCTCAATGGTGACATGAGTGCAGCCGAACTGTTCTGCCAGGTCGCGAGTGGTTTGGCGTGGATCCGACTCAATGGCTTCCTTCAATGCGTCGGTTGTCGATGATTTGAGGTCGACGTCCGTGTTTTTGGTCTTCCAAGCTTTCGTCGCCGTCTCGGAAGCGCTGGAACCATCGTTTACACTGACTTTCGGATAGAGCATCTTCGTCAAACACTTGAGATAGAGCGCCATGAGCTTCAGCAGCCGATTTGCCTTGCTTAAATTCATGCCACAAGCAGGCCAGCAAACGAAATTTTTGGTCCAACATTTTCTAAACACTCTTTCTTGCAAAAAAACAAAGTAAACATAGACAAATTATATATCAAACGATGCGCAAGAACACGCTCTTTCCAATAGAATAAACTATTTAAAAAATCTTTTACTGTGAATAAAATACAAATCAACAAACACGACGCTCATTTCTTTTTTACCAACCTAATAGTCTCATATTCAACAATACTGTAAGAAATTCGTAAATACATTAACCAATAACAATCAAATTTTTCAGTCTTTTCATCCCGGCAAAATCTTTGTCTCGACTATTCCACGGAGAGAGTTTGGAATGGAGCGATGCTCAAGTATTTCAATAAAATATCGTAATCATTCTAATAGAAAGTTGAAAATAGAATAGAAGACCATAGTCTCCCAGCAAAATCTTTGTCTCGACATTAAAAGAATTTCATATTTATCGTATAATTTATATTTTAGTCTCTTCTCCTTTCAACACTCCTTCTGGCATCATTGATTCTTTTGTGTGTTTTATTTAAAAGGTAATTGTTAGGACAAAAAGAAAGCTAAAAGTCTAAAATGTAGCTGTACAAAGAGTTTGATTTTACTTCAAGAATATATCCAACAAGTGGTTGCTAGTGGTTTTCGGGTTACTGTTATCGACGCATGCAAATTTCAGCTGTTTCCTTATCATAATGGTGAACTTCCTCTTATGCTGAAATGCTGGATACTCAGTTTAAAAAAAGGGTACCGGTAACGGGCATTTTAAAGCACAAAAGGCTCTCCAGCAATTACTGTAATCAATAGCAAAAAGACAAAAAGACTATATGCAAATTTTGATCTAATACGGTTCCAATACGCTTCCAAATTTCCAGGATAATCCTCCCGATTATCGATTGTTGTCTCTGTTTCTGCGCACCGATTTCGCTTCCGTCACGAATTCGGGAAAACGCTCGAAAACGCCAAAAATACTCGGCCGTCGCCCCGGCACAGGACAGTCAAGTTTAGAAATTTTGTGAGAAATTTCCTTTGTTTTCCTTTGTTTCTGAATCCAACGGGTCCTTTTAAAATCGCCTTTACTTTTGAAATATCCCCTCACTTTACGGGTTTCTTTTCCAAAATGCCATCGAGAATAGTCATTTGCGAAATTATTCTGTTTTACTTCTTGTGATATCAAATGTGATTTTATTTATAAAATTTGAAAAAAAAACTGGTTTTATCAAGACAATTTATACAAGCCTATATACATTTAACGACACGAAAAATGAGTCTTTTTGAGGATGAGTCTACTTTGGTGCTCCAGCGCTTGGTCCCTGAAAAATTGAAATAAGGCAACCTATCCTATTGTGTAGATCGATTAGGATCTATATTAAAGGTTAAAGAATTTGGGTTAAACTCATAACAATTGCGGGTTTCTTATTGTTAATCACTATTTTTCAGAAAAAGTTCCAGAAAATTGTTGTTTCCAAATAAAAATCCACTCACCAAACCGGTTCGATCCGCTTTCGTGGCCTCGTCGACATTCAACTAAAGGGACAAAATGCAAAAATAAACTTCAAATCTCAATGTTTCTCGAGGTACAGTCAGAAATTTTCAAATTCTTACAAAATCGTCCTGTTTTAATCGTTTCGCGATCCCGCGTGGCACCAAAACTTGCAAGTAGTCGTCGATCAAGCAAATTGACTGAAATTAACAGAATTAGACAAAATAAAGATAGAGTTTTGCCCTTAAAAATTAAAAACAAAGGAAATTTTTAAAAACTGCAAGCATACTTTAATTTGCACATCGGAAACGATGCCTCGGTGAGTGTTTGTCACCCAAGCCACCAACAATGTCATCAAAAAGGCCGCTATCTAAAAAATGATTAATTTTTTGTGACATGGACAATAATGCCATGGACTAGGGGCAAATTCAACCTAAGAAAAGCCTGAATAGAAATAAGTCGTTAGAAAATTCACTGAAAAGATCGGTGATAGGTAAATGAGAAGGTAGAGATCGGCACAAGCCACCATAACTAAAATAGAGCTATTTGAAAAAAAAATTGATATACAAGCCTGTCGAGATAAAGTATGATTGAAAAATAAGAGTTCCTGAGCAAAAATTGTTTCGTATTCGCCTTTTTAATGTAAATTTGTATGTAAATTAAATTTCTTACCTTCTCAGCTGTGCATCAAATACCTTTTCATTTCACTGCTTGCATTGCGTTGTCTTATAACAAAAAAGTTTAATTTATATTTCAAAAAGAATAAACCCGGGACGCAAAAAAAATTCAAAATTGATGTGCATATAATTGGTCTAATCATTAAGAGAATGCGAACGCGACTTTAATAAATTATGACAAAGGCCGAAATCAAACCGGGGAACCGAATAAGCTCACTTAAAAAAATAATGTTAGGCCAGAAAACAATAACTTAACATATAGATAAAGCACATAGCACAAAGAGATGGGACTCAAAACAAACCATACACAAAAATTCAACAAGGACGACTAATCGGTGATCAATGAGCAAAACAATTTAGGGTTGGCACTTCAGAGGAATTTCTTGTGAAGGATCTTTTTTCCTTCGTCCTCCCATTCCTTCTTGCTCACCCACATACGCCTAAAACAAGGGATTCAGCTTGAAAGAAAAACTTTTAGTGATTGATCCATTATAATAGTTACCTCTGATTTTACTAAAGCATACTACAAAACAAGATGAAAATGAGCAAAAAACAAAAAACGTACCTAAAAGTATCAAGAGCGCCGAGAATCGACCCTCCAATCCATGTGGAATAAATGCGTTCCTAAAACAAAACTTGTATATAAAAGTGCAAAACTACCGAAAATACCTGTGGAGCTGAAATCTTCACTTTTGTCTCAGCCGGAGCGAGTTTTTGCATCTAAAAGATGCTTAATGTTTGCTTTTTTCAAGTTTCAAAAAACAAACCTCAGCCAGCAATCGAACTCCGAATCCTGTAAACATCGTAGAGCCACCACTGAGCACAATGTTTGAATAAAGAGTTTTTCGAAGGTCCATGTCGCATTTCTACAAACAAGAGATTAAACTGAAACTGAAACACCAGTTTACTAACCCGAATAGCATTATCGATGCAAACTGCAACTCCGGGCCATTCCTCACCAATGATTTCAGGACGGAAAAGGATCTACGAAGAAAAGATTATTAGAATTAAACAAGTATAATACTTCAGGAGCTCTAAAGCGTGATGCGCGAAGATCCATTCTAGAGCCATCCGGTAGCAGATATTTGATCTAAACTATATATGTGATTTAATGTTCATTCGCCGAACTAACCTCCTTATCTCCTTCTTGTTGTTCCTCTTTAGCCGCATTAGCAGCAACATAGCAAGCCTTTTCTTTAATTTCGCGAACGATTTCAAATTCGGAGCTGCGATGGAAGTTGTAGCCCTCCTAAAGAATTTTTTTGATCATTGGGCAACAAATTGCTTATATGTTGAAACTAACTTTTCGTAAAAGGAGACGCAAAAACTTGGTAACATCTCGACCAGCGACATCGATACGCTCAATTCTAAACATAAGCAAATGAGTAAGGTAAGTGACGCACAAATTACCCTTGCTGCATCGCGAATCCTTCATAAATAGGTACAACATGTGTCACACCATCACCTGAATCTACAACCACTCCCGTTGTGCGTCCCGAAGCATAAAGAGCAAGAACCGCCTTAAAAAGAAACATGTTCCAATTAAACCTCGAAACTTGCCTGCATTTGTATGTAAAGAGCTGGTACATTGAAAGTCTCAAAGAAGATCTCTGCAGTCTAAAATATCATTTGTTTAACCGCAGTAAATATAAAGTCCACCTTTTCTCTATGCTTGGCTGGATTCAGTGGAGCTTCCGTCAACAGCACCGGATACTCCCCAGGGAAAACCTAAAATATGAATAGAGATAAAATAGATAAAAAGTCTACATTCAGTTGTTCTTTGCTGTAGATGTAGTTCCAAACTTTCTCCATGTCATTCCAATCGGTGACAATTCCGTGTTCCATAGGATACTTGAGTGAGAGAAGCCCTCGGTATTCTTCAGCTTTAGGTCCTAAAATTACTAACTATCTTAATAATTTTCATCAAAAACGAACCAATAAAGAGATCTCCTTCAAGAGCCCCAGCCATCACTCGAGTATGTTTTGGTCGTCCAACAAAATTAGCGAATTTGACCTAAAAACAATTAAAATTATTGATGTTTATTATAGTGCTAGCAACGAATTTCGTTCTTAAAATGTACCTTTGGTGATGGGTCGCCGGCAAATCCGGCTTTGATCACTCCACTTCCATTGTCAATGACAACTGGTTGATTCGCGATTAGATCCATCTTCCAAACTTCAAAGATGGCTGAAATAATTTTTATAAGCAACCACGCATGAAAAATTAACAACATAATAAATAGAACACATAAAAAATATTGAGTGGACACCGGTAAATACATGTAATTGTATAAAGATCAGCCTATTGAAAAGTTTTCTTGGCCTGAAGTTCTTTTAAAATTTCTTCTAACTCGTCGTCCTCCATTTTGTTTTCCAGCGAGGGCACCAAAGCTTTGGCCTCTTCAGCGGTTTCCGGCAACAAATTTCCCAGCTGAGCCACTTCGAATTTGTGCAAAGATTTGTCGGCAAACGCTTGTCGAACGGCTCGAATGCTGTCGCGATTTTTGAAACGCGAGAGACGGGCGACGTATTTGAAAGTCTTCAGGAACACCTCATTCATGTCTTCGATTTCCTCCTTTTGCTCGTTTTGCGCTCGTCTGTGCTCCAATAACAAGAAGACCTCAGAGATGAGTAGCGCATCGCATTTCGCCGTTTCGAACTCTTTTGGGAATTTCAGCTCTGCCGCATCATCCTCTTGAATCTCGTCTGTCGAGCTTGAGGCCATCTAAAATAAAAAAATTAGTTTCAATAAATTGAAATGAAGAAAAGTCAAAGAAGCACAATTGAGAGTAGTTCAATCGACAACCATACAGAGTAGACGAAAAGATGAAAAATGTGGCCAAAGAATGTTAGAATATAAACTATAATAAAGCTTTTCAGTTGTTTAATTAAGAGCCTAACAGTAGAGTTTAATGACTATAAAAAATTGGCTCAAGGTGTTTTCTTTCATTTTTTTTCTTGTTAACCTTTACTTCTAATGTTTTATAGTTTACGCCAACCACAAAATCTGTTTAATCAATGTATGAAGCTTTATTTCCAATAGTTATAACTAAATCATCCAAATCAAACAAGCTTCGTAATTTCGTAAGAAGGGAGTTTTGAGAGAGTGCAAACTCGAATTGGGTATGATCACGGTATTTTGGGTGTCTTTTTGCGAAAAGTGGCCCCTTCCTTCGCATTTGGCGCGAACTCTTGTTTTTTATTGTTTCTATTTTTTCAAGCAACGTAATTTCAATTTTAGAAAATGGGTCGAATTGTCGGGAAGATTCCACTAACGTCAATGATCAACTTGAAAGACACGCTAAAAGGAGGACAATCGTTTCGGTAAGCGCTTGTGTTAGTTTTGAAAGCTGCTACATGCCCTAAAAATAGAAATGAAAATTCCTTTACTGACGTCGTTTGTTGTTTTATAATTGTTTTTATTTTAGTTTTCGATTTTCTGATGGCGAGAAAAAATATTGTGGCGTGGCGAAAGGCATTCTTTTTGGCGTATCGGAGCCGAGCACTTCTAACGAGGTTGTACCCTTGTTTCTAATTTTTTGCAGCGTACCGTTTTGAAAAGTCGTAGTTAATAATTGTTATTTCTAGCTGGAATATCAAGTCTATGGTCTAACAAAAGAAAGATGGGATTACTTTTCCGAATCAAACCTTTTGCGAACGAGTTATGGATTCTGCAATTTCTTTCAAAGATTTCTCGGAGAATATTTGGGGGTAATTTTTCGTTAACTCACTAGCCATGTCGCTATTGATTAGCTACATAAGTAGCTTGATTTAGATCGAGAAAAATGCGCATTCTCTGCAGGATTCGATAACGGAATTTTCCAAGAACATTTCTATGCATTCGCCCCAGGCTTTTCAGGTACCACATAATGATTTGCGAATTTTCATCTTTTTAGGTTAAAGTTCTCGCTCAAGAACGCTTTGAGACGTTGATAGCCTTTATCACTAGTGCTAATAACAATATTGAGCGGATAACAAGTAAAACTTTGATCTTTAGAAAGATTATCAGTATTTATTAGAGTTAGTGTCAAAGTTTTCTGAAGAATTTGGAGAAGAGATTTATCCGATCGAAATCGATAACAAAGAAGAGCTTCAGATTATCGAGAAGGTAGCTATTTTTAAATAGCGACGATATATAAATATTGATAGATTTCTCCCGACTTCTCAAATGAACACCTTGGCTTCCGACATGCTTTCCCAACGGCCAAGATGGTTTGGGACTCATCTGAAGAATCCGCAGAAAAGCTCGAAGCAAAGTTACGATTGATGGGTTACGGATATCGAGCTCCCTACATTGCGTAGGTATTGGAAAATGGCAACTAACAGTTACATTTTCCAACCCATCATTTTATTTTTTTAGAGAAACAATCGAAACCCTTGCCGCCGACCCGTCCCATCCATTTTACGACAACTACGATGTGAATGAATTTAAGGATTACGAGAAATGTGTTACCACGCTACAAACGCTCAAGGGAGTAGGTAAAAAGGTATTGTTTAAAAATTGAGGTCATCTAAATTTGGTTTAAGGTTGCTGATTGTATAGCGCTTCACGGATTTCAGTTTGGATGCTCGGTGCCGATTGATGTACATATTCGAAGAGTTAGTTCATTATTATTATCATTTCCAACAAGCCCAATTACAGATTACTCTGAACGAGTTTAAACATCAGGACTTACGTGGTCTAAAAGTGGATGGATCTTTGACTGTTACGGACTACAAGAGAATCGGTGAAAAAGGCTTTTTCAGATAATTTTAAAAATTTTCCTTTAGGAGACTTTTACCGTTTGTCATTTGGACAATTCGCGGGGCTTGCTCAGCAAGTGATGTTTGTGTACTCGCTCCATCGCAGCAAAAATCGTTTGCAACGTATTGAATTGAATTTCTAATTCAGATTTAGTAAACAAACCGTTGAAGAAAGCGCAATCCGCAAAAACGAAAGCCAAAGCAAAACCGAGAGCCAAAGCAAAACAGAGAAAAAAATAGCCAGGGAGCTTGTTAATTTTTAAAATTGTATATCTGCATTCTTATTTATGTTTTGATAAACTTTTACATGAACCCCCATGAAAATTTACTCAACTAATAACAAAGCAGACAAACTTTCCTAAAAATTATTTTCCACTAAAGTTAGATTCGATTGGATTTGATCGATAAATTTCTCGTCTCTTCCGCGTCAGCCATCAAATTTTTCATCTCAATCGCAGCCGTTTTATCAGCACATGTCATTTTTCGATTCACCATTCGCGTAATCAATCCATTTTCGCTTATGTAGATGTCCAAGACTCCTTCCTGGGTGCGAAGCGTTTGTTTTCTCGGCGCAAATGGGAACCAACTCAAAAAAGATGACTCCATCGTTGTGAGTTTCCACAAAAATGTCAGCGCATTCTCATTCTCATAGAAATAGGAACCCACTTTCTCGAGCTTCACAAAAGGTGATACGAAACGATAATAAAAGCGAGCTTGTGCTAGCTTAGAAGCAAGATTATCTCGTCCAACGACTCGTTTTCCCGCCAATTTGTCTTCATATTCGACATCCCTTGAAAATGAGTTGAACAACGTGCCTGAGCCGGTCTTGAAGAGTCGCGGCAGTTGATCGTCGAAAATCCATTCAATTCGAAACAACGTCTCCTTTGTCGGCTTCTCGATAATCGTCTTCGACGTTGATATTCCGGAAAGGCTCGTCAAATGGCCGCTTCGAACAAAACCGAGAATCCTTCTACTGATGAGGCTCATCGTGCAGCGATGGGACCTAGAAACATGAAAGAATGAAAGGATTTAGAAAAAACATGGAAGTTTTAAAATGCGAATGTTTACCATAAATCAAATAATATTGTGTAGAATATTTCGGGAGTGGCTACTTTGCGGAAATCGCCATAACTTTCTTCTAAGTGGGCCAATCTTTATGATTTTGGTGTCATTTTGTAGATCTCAATAAGTGTAACAAAATGACACCAAAATCATAAAGATTGGCCGACTTAGAAGAAAGTTTTGGCGAGTTGCGCAAAAAAAATTTGGCGCAAAGTAGCCACCCTGATTTGCTAAAGATTTGATATGCAGTTAGGTAAGTAGCAATGACTTTTTCCAACAGATTTATTCGCGAATAACAGCCCTCCAAACAAACACTCAACCGATTGCAGAAAAAAAACGTAACAGAGAGCAAGGGGAACAGAAAAGGAGAAACAGGAGAAAGTTACAATAGTTATTAGGAAAATCCTGTAACACCCAGAAAAGGGTGAACAAGGAGTAACCGTAAAATGGTGAGCGGGTAGGACGCGGTTGTTGAACAGCAGTCAAAAAAGAGCAATTGTTCAATGGTTTTTGATCAACAACCACGCAAAACAACAATCCATCCCAGTCACAAAACGCGCAACAAATTTCAACAAAAGAAACGCAAAAACGGATAAATTTTCTATGGAGTGTCCGGATATATTGATTCGACTTTATGGGGTATTTTTGTGTGAAAGATTTCGGATAACAAATGAACAACAGGGGAAAACAAATTGCAAAAGCCTAGGGGGGAAATTCGCGAATGATTGCACTACACATTTAGCCTTTTCATTGATGTTAACCAGGTTTGTAAGGAGAAAAATTAATTTTTGGATTTTCAAAGCAAAATCCAATGAATGGGGCAGCTACGCACTGCGACGGAAAAGTGGAAAAAAATTGCGTAGTTGCCCCATTTGTTGACTTTTTCTTTGAAAATGAAAAGATACTCAATTTTTTTCCTTTTTTCTTTTTTTTCCGCTTTCAAGCCTGTTAACGATGATCGGAATATTTCGGAAAAGGCGTAAACGGGAGAAAACCGCACACGCATGACCCTTATTTTCACGAGTTAGATAATAGCCGTATGAGAACCCCAATGTGATTGTTTGTGAGAGAGAAAATGATGTGTACAAAGAGGTGGAATAGAAAAATCGTTTGGGAGAAAGCTTTTTGCTGCACTCGGCCGTCTTGACCACCATTTACTGTACATGTCAAAACGGGTGCGAGCGGACCCCTTTGAGGTAAAAGGTATTCGGAAGCTTGTTGGAGATTGTCAAGTGCCAATAGAAATCACACAGTTTAGAGCCGTTTTCTATTTTTCTATTCAGCACTAACTTTTGTGCTAACTTATCCAAACTTTTGTGTGAAAACTTTTTCAAAATTTCCTCTAACAAGCTCACCTCAACCTTTACGAGAAAAACAATGACCGATTTTTGGTTTTAACGAGAAACAACGAACAAACCAAACATTCGGTCACTCATTCTCATCAGAAACGATTTTAGAGTAAAATTTTTTTGCAAATTCTCAAAAAAGATCGCTTTTTATATAAACAATCGGGGCTTTAGATGTTAAAAAAAATGGGGAAATGAACCGGAATATTTTTTGAATTCTCTAGATAACATTGACTACATTAATTTCTTTTCGTGAAGGCATTTTTCAAGCAACGGGGATTAACAATTGGGAGAGCGATTGATATCTGATAAAAGGTTCTTAAAAAATATCTGATATCAACAAGTAACAATTTTTTCGGGATTTTCTTGGTTTTTTTTTGATGGTTTGTGCAAATAAGGCAACAATGGTTTGAAGAGAGAAAAGTTTGGAAAAGGAAAAGTTGAAATGAAATTGAAATGATTGGAATTCTTTAGAGCTAACAATGTCCCAAATAGAAAACAAAAAAACAAAAAAACAAAAAAACGAAAAAAAAGAACAAAATTATGAATAAATATGAAATAACGATTGAGGGGATGGGAAAATTGGGGGGAGATTAGTCGCGACTCGGATGACGAGACGCGTTCTTCTCCAACAAGTCCATCAACGGGGTCCACATCTAGAAAGTTGGATCTTGAATTGGTTTTTGATTCGATTTTCTATTTGTATTGGATTTATATTTGTCCATCGGACAATGAACACTCTGAAGCTGGATTTGGCTTACGATTAGACAGCTAGGATTGTCTAATCAGCTAGGATTGTCCTAGACAGCTAGGATTGTCCAAATGTCCGCTTTTCAGTTAGAATTTCAGTTAGAATGTTCAGCTAAGTACTTTGTTAAGCTTGATTCTAGAAAAATCAAGATCAGAATTGACAATCTTTTGAATAAAACATTGACTTTGTTTACAAGCTCACTCACTTGTCGATTAGCGGTGAGCGAGAGGATCGTCTTCTGGACTTCTTTTCGTTTCCCTTTAATGTTGAAATCGGGATACGCGATTGAGAAGTTGAAGTCGGATGGCTAAACATCAATTGTAATCATCATAAAGAATCATAAAATCGGAATCAGTTCAAAAGCGGATCAGCCTGTCTACCTGTTGTGGTGTTTGCAGAAGGAACTTCTTCGCGTACTCGAGCGCAAAGATCCCGCAATCGAAAGCGTTCGTTTGTTGGGGCAAACCGATTGGGAGACTCAATTTCAAGGCCGGCATTTTGCTCACTTTGCCCGATCGTTTCGTCCACGAGTAGTCCAAGAATTGTTCGATTAGTTTCGCTGATGCGGCGAGGTTATTTGGATCGTCGCCGAGTTGCGAGTCGAAGCAAACCTAAGAAGAGTTTTTTGAGTAAAGAAAGTATTATGTAATTGAATTTATGATTACTTATTGCTTTAAATTTCGATATTCAATTGTAGCAGGTTTACTGTAACAGTTTTTAAGCTTTACCGTAGTTCCTCGATCGGTGAATGGATGACAAACGATGAGCAGCGACCAATGCTCCCACTCATTCACTGGGATCACCAAGTAGTCAACGTCAAAGAGTTCAAAGTCCTCAAGAAACTCGAGCACATCACCGAAACGAGCATCCTCCTGGAAAAGTTCTTTGTTTACATATTCATTAGTCATTCACTAGTCACTAGTCAACTTTTCTACTTTCAACTCCAAAATCTGATGGTTGAGCTTCAACAATGAATTTCATGCTTTTTACAGGGACAATATTTATTTGCATATTTTCGGACATCCCGCTGTGTTAATTGATTCCCGGCAGCCGATCGAAAGCCACTCGAGACTGCTGAGTGAATGATCGGATCGCTCTCGGCTATCTCCCCTTCACTCTGTCCCTTCTCTTTCCCCCTTCTTCATCATTCCCATCCCAAGGTCAGTCCCATATCTACTTCCCATCCGTTTCCCAAAGTTTAGACTATCCCCACAAAATTTACAATCATTTAAAGCAATCACCGAGAATTCGATGAGCCAATTAGTTTCGCGAAATCACTCGTGAATTGGATCGGTAATGATGTGCTAGAAATCAGAAACAAGGCTACGGTAGCTATGATTAGTGAGCAGTGATTACAAATGAGCTTAACTTGAAACAGATTACGATAACGAAGATTGGTTTACGGTAGAGAGGAGCAGTGCCGGTAGCTACAGGAATACTATAGTCATTGGTAGAGGGCACTCTAGCCACTATGGGGTACTGTGGTCATTATTGAAGGAGTACTGTAGCCACAAGTACTGTATTTATAAATTTACTGGCGTACTCTACCTAGTGCAACCGTAGTTCAAGTACTGTAGCCACTTGTAGTCTACGAATGACTTAAGTCTAGACCACCGCAAGTCCAAGGTTCCCCAAAAAATTTACCGCTTTCCTAAAAAGCGGAAAATGTCTCCAGAAAGAGTGGGTGGCAATTTTGCAGATCATTAATCTAATCGAGAAAGCGAAAGTTGGGACAGATGGTTTTTTTTCTCTTTGCTTGTTGTCTATGTTCTTCATAGATTGAAAGACAGACACATGACGACTCTTTATCGTTTTTTTCATTTCCTAACTTTTTCCCCTTTTTCCCCTCTCACTTTTTCACTCTCTTTTTTTAGTCTAGACTAGACGGATGGCAGAAAGAAAGAGATGGGAATGGAAATGATCCCACAAAAAGTGGTGTGGGTTGGCTGTTCTTTGTGTTTTCAGTGTTGCACTGACTGGGCAAGGCCAAATATTTATAGAACTAGACACCTTAAGCTCAATGATAGAAACATCCTCTTTCTGTTGCACAGTACGCCAGAAGGGATGTGTTTCTGTTTTTACACCAAATTACACCAATTACTGGAAGAATTAGACTTCTGTAGGGGCCTGGAAACCCTCTACGGTACCCTAGATCTACTACGGTACTTAGAGGATCTACTACGGTACGGTGGAGATCTAGGCGACTGCAGTATCTATAAAGTATCCAGAGCTAGAGTAATGTATCTAAAGTATACAGTGTGCAGTTTCTTTACAGTACACTAGAGCCATAGTATTCAATTAACCAGCGTACTGTGGAGATCTAGGCGTGTGGGCTAGAGCTAGAGCTAGAGCTAGAGGGCTAGAGCTACAGTGGGCTAGAGCTAGAGCTACAGCGCTCACAATGATGCTACAATGACACCAGAAGCACTAACGTATCCAAGCCAAACTGCTGCATACGTCTAGAGTTGAATAACTCAAGAAAGCCCTAAAAACTCTACTTGAACTTTCACTTGTCTAGTTTGAACAGGATGCCATGACAAACCCCTAGAAAATGACCCTCAAAGAAAAATAGGAGAAATGCAAAAGTTGCCTACCAGCCAGTCCCCTTCTCTACCACCGCTTTCCCGCCAAACGTCATGAAAGTTTCCCCTTCTTCTCCATTTTTCCTGCTCAAAATTTCCCGCCTAAAACTCGGCCTTTCAATGCCTTACGGTAGTCTTTCAATGAATCACGATTCTCATGGATTCCCTCTAACAGACAAAACATTTTAGGATTTCGAAAAAAGCTGATTCAAAACTAGAAAAAGAATACTATAGAGATGTGAACTGATGTTAGCTTGCTTCTCAAAGCAATCTATCTATCTAATCAATATCATTACCGTACACTGAAGTGCAACAGAAAGAGGATGTTTCTATCATTGAGCTTAAGGTGTCTAAGTCTTGTGTCTTGGCTGAGTCTTGTGAGAAAAAGCTGAGATCTATCACAAGACTCAGTCTTGTGATAGATTTTTGCTAGATTTAAATGTTAGATTAAATGTTATCTTTAAATGTTATCTTGTTTTGTGGATCCCCGAATTTCAATTAAATCCACTCAATCACCCCCAAAATCAGAACACAGCCGATTGGCCTCGAGAAAAGGGGAAACGATCATATGTGAGCAAAGTCTCGGGAATTTCTCAAAAAAATGGAAAAGGAAAAAGGGGAAAGGGGAAAGGGGAAAGGGGAAAGGGGAAAGGGGAAAGGGGAAAGGGGAAAAGGGAAAAGGAAAAGGAGAAAGAGTTTTTCTCGTAGACTTCTCTAGATAGAAAAAAAAGAAAAACGCAAGAATTCTCTGGTGGAAAGGTACGAGGTGGCACGAAACCCGTGGAAAAAGGCTTTGAAGTGAAAAAAGTGAACCCCTCGCGCACTTTCAAAGTGAGAAAAAGAATAGCACACAACAAATAAAATAGAAAAGGGGAAAGGGGATTGAGGGAGAATGGCTATAAACACAGCTGACCAGTCAGAGGAAAGAGGTGCCAAGAAATAGAAATGGAGGCAGTTGAAAGGGTTGTAAGAACTGGACGACTAAGTGCACGCATTGAATTTCTAGATATATCTAGACATGTCTAGATATCTAGATTAGATATCTAGCTTTATTTTATCCAAGTATAGCTGCTTTTTCTAGAGCTATAAACAAGTCGAAAGTTGATCAATTCACTTTTGAAACAGCTGACTTGCTTACTAAACAAAGTTCGCGGAATAGAAAACATTTATGGTATAACTAAAAGAATATTCAGCTTATCAGTAAGCTCTATTTGACATTTACTAGCTAATAAACAAGTCTAAAGTTAGTCCATTCAGTTTTGATTGAGAAGATGGTGATAAGAAAAGTTGGAAGGATTCTTAAGCTATTGCTAACAAATAAACTTGTAAGAATCCTTTGAACTGTAAGAACTTTAAGAACTTTGAACTGTAAGAAGTAAGATTGAGCATATTATTTCAATTCTATTCAATATTTTCCAAACATTTCTCTAAACTCACTTGTTGATTTGGTGGAAGAGTGGTGAAATCCTCAGGAAGAAACGATTGTCGAATGCTCAAGTTGTGCCAAAAGACTGCCGGCAACACTGTCACTCGTTTATCTCTAGAAATTTTCAAAGCTGCATGATAAACTATAATTTTTCATCTACCATAGTCCCCATTCTATTCCCAGCTATTCCCAGCTATTCCCAGCTATTCCCAGCTATTCCTCTATACTTTTATTTTTGCTTTTTCTCTATCCCATCCACCTCTTTTGTTTATTTGAAAGGAATGATAAGAGTCCTCCTTCTGTTTTCCTTTCTCCCCATTGGCAACAGCAAAATTTGCAAAGTTTTTCGAAAACGGGCAAAAACACAAAAACAATCCACTCAACGGGGGATATTTTTAGCCACTCAAAGCGATAAATGTTCTCTTTTTAAAAAAGCTTATAAGATTTTCAATGTAAATTTCTATTTCTTAAAACTCACGGCTCATCGGGCAACAAGTGCTCAACAATGTGATTCAAGAAGAAGTCGACAATCGTGTCATTCAACAATTCTTTCTCCTAGAAATGAATGTTTAAATTTCAAATAGATATAGATGATAAATAAAGTAGTTTATGAAGTCGTTTATAAAGTAGTTTATAAAGTAGTTATAAAGTTATATACAGTTCCTTTATAGTTCCTTTGAAGCTCCTTTATAGTTCCTATTTAGTTCCTTTAAAGCTCCTTTAAGGCTCCTTTAAAGCTCCTTTAAAGCTCCTTTAAAGCTCCTTTATAGTTCCTATTTAGTTCCTTACAATAGTTATAGTTAAAGTAATCGAAAACTCACTTGTAAACACAAAAAGTCCGCCAAACGGACAGAGATCGAGAGAAACGGGAAACGAATTCGCAACATTTCGGTGGCCGCCGTCAACAACGAGATTCGAGAGTCCTTAGATTATTGATATAGATTATTTAAAATATAATTTCCTTTAGCTCATAGTTTAACTCACTTTAGCAAAGGTGGATTCACTCTGCGATATGCTGAAGACATCTTGTTCTGACTCACTTCGCATCTCTTCATCCCAAATCTCGTTTGAAGCCGATGACGACGTGGCACAAGCATCTGAAAATTATCCTATCCTCATTTAGATGTAAAATTTTATCCTATAATAGCAAAGGAAACAAAACTGGACTGAGCCATTGAATACTCTTTAATTGACTTGATCACTTTTAACGTCTAACTTATTAACGAATCCTAAGGTTTTAAGATCTCATTTTAGATCTTCAGCTTTAAAAACTAACCATCATAACTCATCGCATCGTCCTCATCGCCGACACTTCCTCCAACGAGGGGATTGTATGCAGAAAGTGAAGTGGAAAAGGCCAATGATGAGCCAAAAGAACCGACCAAAACTTTATCATAGGTTGGAGATTGATCGAATTCCTCTTCATAAGAAACGCCTAAAATTTCACTAGTAAGTTCTAGCAAGTTCTAGTAATATTCTATATATCGTATTTTCTCTAATAGTAGTGACGAGCCGAGTTGGTGACTATTTTACACTTCCAAAGTTTTTCCAGAAGCTCAACACTCAAATCCCCCACTAGATCTCATCATCAGCTACATTTTCCGACCCCACATCGATAGGTTCTGATAAGCGGTTCTCGAGATTTCGAACAATTTAGGCGACGCTCTGGGTGCACTACTATTAGAGAAAATACGGTACCGTAAAAGCTCTAGAAGAGTTTCCTCTAGTCTGTTTACACTCAAAGAATCGAACAGATCTTGCCACCAGTACGCTTATTTCTGTGCGTTTAGGTATCGAATTAAAGTAGAAAAAAATAGGAGGATCTTTTGATCTATAGCACATATTTTTAGTAAACCTTCAAAGGAAACACTGCTTTACCCGAAGACTGAAAGAAATTCAGTGTATCTTCTTATTGATCAAACACAAACCTTGATGATCCGAGTACCATCCAAAAGGACTCCCATGTGATTGAGTGGAAACTTCCATTGTTTAACAAATAATGTTACACAAATCAACAATAACAATCGAAATTGATGAGAGAAAGACTCTCCACATGCACCCTGGAAAATAGATTTGTAAATTTTGAATATAAAATTAAAAGCTAAAATTTGAAATCAAATCCAAAAATCAAATCAAATTCAAAAATAATTTTATTGTCACGTACACACAAAAAATGTGGTCTCTGGTGGTCGGAAGGCAAAAAACGACCCAACAGTCAATTCGAAAACAAGTTTTTCAGCAAAAAAAGAGAGTATGATTAAGTTCGATGATTATTTAAAGATAAACAGGATTATAGTACAGGTTGAAAGATAAAAAAAGGTTTCTGTTAACATAGCTATATCTATCGGTGAACGCTCATCTCTCAGAGCAATTGTTTTGAGTTTTCTCCGACTTGGCAACTCTTCGAGACACCTGTGTGATGGCCAATGGGGTTTTTTGAGCGAAAAAATCTGTCAGTCACAAGACGATTACCGCTCTGGAACTTTGCCGAGAGAAATTGAGATTTATGGATGGCACTTTTGCTTTAGAGTTATTTTAGACAAACAGACAGACAGACAGACAGACAGATTAGACAGATGGACATACAGATAGACAGACAGACAGACAGACAGATAGACAGATAGACAGACAGACAGACAGATAGACAGACAGACAGACAGATTAGACAGACAGATTAGACAGATAGACAGACAGATTAGACAGAGAGACAGACAGACGGACAGACAGACATACAGATAGACAGACAGATTAGACAGACAGACAGAAAGACAGACAGACAGGCAGGCATACCGACAGACATACAGACATACAAATAGACAGACAGACAGACAGGCAGACAGTCAGCTGGCCATCCAGCCAGGCAGACAAAAAGCCAGGCAGACATACAGACAGACAGAAGATTACGGTAGCTTTACATTTAATTTTTGTGATCTTGAATTTGAAAGTCTTTTGATGCTAAAGAAGATGCTACTTCTTTTTAAAAACTACAGTTTTACTTTGTTTCAAAATATGATAATAAGGTATTGGATAGTTCTGAGATGGATTTAGAAGAAATTATAATACGATAGAGTAATGTTTAGCTTACATATTATGTACAATATACTATGTAGGCTAAACATCCCTGCCAACAACCGGTGACACCCCTTTTCCCTGTCAATAACAAGTTTTGTGTGTGTGTGTGTGTTGGAAAGAGATCACACAAAAACCAATACCTCTAAACTGTATTGAGTTTTCATTTTCTGAGCTACTTTCAGCTGATAACGTGGCGCCAAAAATTGATCAAAATACCGGAAATGCAGTAAACAATTGAAAAAATGCAGCAAGAAAATGGAATTGCTAAAGAAAATTGGGTTTCTCGATTGAAGAAGAAAAATGAAACCTTTGCTTTTTCTAGGTTTAGATATATTATAGTACAAGTGAAAGATCTAGTACTTGTGCAATTATCCGGCACTCTGAAACCCTGGACACTATCTGACACTCTGAAACCCTGGACATTATCTGACACTCTGAAACCCTGGACACTATCTGACACTCTGAAACCCTGGACACTATCTGACACTCTGAAACCCTGGACACTATCTGACACTCTGAAACCCTGCATAAACTACAAGACCAGATTGGAGCAATTCTCCATTGAATAATGGAGAATTGCTGTATTCTGATCAAATTCTATACAGGCATTCTAGGCAGACAGGAGAATCCTTTTAATTCAAAAATGACATGCCAGTGAAAAGAAAAAGAAGAGCCAGCTATTCTTGTTCGGATTGGCTATGGATCGCGATATTGGAATGGGGCTGATCGGGAGGAAAAAGGGGGTGAGTGTGCCCCCGAACAGGGACCGCCCCTCCCTCTCCTCTCCCAGACAATCCCCCTTCTCTTCCCAAATCAATCGATGTCTGCCCTTTTGATTGGATAAAAGTCTTTCCTTTTTCTTTCTTCGGAACACATGAGACCCTGACTGCTCTTTTTCTGGCTCAGTTAGATCACCACTCGCTTGAGAAAGTGCTAATCAATCAACTTCCCTTTTCAACCAGGCTAGGCACTTTTGGGATCACTTTTTCGAAAGGTGTACCTGGCAAAGAAAAAGGATTCAAACTTGGATAGAAAGCTTGAAGAATTGGGAACTGATCTAATGCTAATCTATCTACAGTACTTTACTCTGTCGCAGATCAGGTATGGGAGAACTATAGCTGAACTATAGCTGAACAGTCTGAAGAATTGGGAACTGATCTAATGCTAATCTATCTACAGTCCTTTACTCTGTCCCAGATCAGGTATGGGAGAACTATAGCTGAACTATAACTACCGTCTTAGCCAAGCAAAGGACTATTCTTGACTATAAGCTTATCAAAGCAAGTCTAAAGACTGTCTTGTCTAATATTCAAGTAAAGAACTGTGAACGAATCGAATCCTAAGCTGAATAGATTTAGTATTAATCGTTTGTAACTCTAATCAATTTAAAACTCTAAGCTAACTCTAGCTGTACAAATTGTATTTCTTTTTGTTACCCCTTGTAAACTTTGGCTCAGTTTCTTGGTTCACAAACACCGGCCATCCATTTCGGCACAGCCATATCATTTGATTCATTCGGTAAACACCAAATTCGAGAAGTAAAGAAAAAAAACTAGAGAAGAAAATAAAAACAAGAAAAATCCAATAATTGAAAAATCCAATACTGAAAAATCCAATTGAAAAATCCAATAATTGAACACAAAAGCTTAAATAGTTTCCTTGTCGATTTGAGGGGAATGAGGTGGATGAGAGAGAAAAGAGAGAAGTGGACAGGTTCTTAAGGGTTTAGTGAAGAAAGGAAGAGAAATGGAAAGGACACTCATCAAGGGATGGACTGACAAACAGTTCTGACAAAAGGAGGAAAGAGAGGGCCTGGGGGCATCTTGGTCTGAGGGTGGGTTGGACCCTGGACCTGTGCGGGATCAAAGAATGAATCTCTCCTCTTCAGCTCATCAGCTCCTCTCTTCACCCTCACTTATCCTAGTCAATAGCTACAGCTACAAGTTCTACTATTCTGAACTGTTAGAAGCTAATTAGATACTAGATGAAGGATTGGGAATATATAAGATTATCTAGATATTTAGAATATTTAGAAGGTAAGTAGTTAGAATACTGATTGTAGTTAGTATGACACTTGTAGCGTTAGATGTCGAGACTGTCCAGATTACTCAGATTACTAGTACTCAGATTCTCCATAGTCTGCCCAAGTACAGCTCTAGTTTCCGGAAACCTTTAGATCAGTCTATTCCAATTGCTAGTGTGACTATGTCAAGTGGGGAATCGTCATCGAGTCGAGTGTGAAGACTTTGAGAGAGCCGGAAGGAAAAGAGAAATGGATACCTCTGAGACTAAGAATAACGATCACAAATCAATCTATCAGCTTTTGATCTATTTGCTGATCTTTGAGAAAGAAATGCCCCTGGTGAGTCAATGAATTTCATTGAGAAAGAATTTCAAACAAAATTGGTTTCATTGTAAACAAGTGATGAAATGCAAGCAAAGTAGCGAGTTACCAAAGAAATTGTATTAGATCAATCTAAGGTTTCGTTTTTTTTCTGAGATCATTCAAAGGAGATCAAGTTTTTGGAGATAAGTGCTCGGAAAGGGGCGCTTGAGGGAAAAAAAGGGGATGGGGAGGTCATTCAGATATGATCAGGTCAAGAGAAAAGGACGGGGGATTCAAATGGGGAAAGAAAGGAAAAAGGGAATGTCAATGAGAAGAGACTTAGATGGAGAATTAGCTAAGAGTTAGAGCTGGACACAGCTCTGTAAATCAGCACAGAAAGTACTGGATCAATTTTGCTGGGTTGGGTTAGGTTTTCCCATGTCTTTAGCCCATTTTAAACGCTAGATTGACGATAGCCGGTATCGGTTCAACTGTCCGCCTAGTACCGTTACGTTGAGCCAAGTCTAGATAGTCCAGAACTGGTAACCAAGTCTAATAGATAGTCCAGACCTGGTAGCCAAATCTAACAGATAGTCTAGAACTGGTAACCAAGTCTAATCGATAGTCTAGAACTGGTAACCAAGTCTAATAGGTAGACCAGCTATCAAAATCTAATTCTGTGATAGATTAGGATTGAGAATTCAATAACAAACAGATAGACGCACTTGTCCTTGATGCCAAAGCTAAACCAAAGTCGATCAGCTTTACTCAGATATATTTTCAATGATTCAAATGAAAACAGGTATTCAAATATGAGCTGGAAAGGGAAAATAACGACAAGATGAGATTGAGAGACAAAGAGCCGCTCAATTTTCTTAAAAAGTGTCGTTCGGTTGGGGAATTGTGCGGAAAAAGTGAAAATGGGGAAAGAAGACACGGATCTGGATCGACGAATGTGTTTCGCCATTAAATTCGAGATCTTAAACAGAGATCTGGGCAATCAGCCAGTGAAATGATGGAATGTTTCTATTTGGATAGACAAGTGGAACCAAGGGAGATAAAAGAATAAGAGGTTGATATTGGATAAAAACTAATAAGAGTTTTCTAAACGATTCAATCCAACAATGGATTGAAAAGATCGATCGAATCAGATAAATTTACATTTAAAGTGAAAAGTGAGCACAGTAAATCCACTAATATCCACACTTAAAGCTCCAGTAAACGCTTCTCATCTAGCTCACTGTTTCTGTCTTTTCTGTGCCCCAGAGACCCTGCCTTTAGAATGAACAAAACTTGTTTAGATCAAAAACTAGCCATTGTAAAATCTAAAGCAAGACAAAGCCTTACAATTAACCAAGGAAGTGTATAGATTAGAGATCGGCTAGACTCATCAACTTGAGAAGTGATCGGAAAAAAAAGGAGAACACAAAGCTATTTGAGGAAAAGGAAAAAGGAAAGCAAGTGCCAGGGTTGAGTTGCGATTCGCACATTACACCGTCATTTCTCTTTTAGCTCTTTTAGCTCTTTTAGTCAAAAAAAAGAAGAAAGCCCCAAGGCCGGCCTTGGACTAAAGAAATTGGTGGAAGAA